TCACAGTCTCTTATAATTAAATAATAAAATTAACCAATTACCCATTTTAATCGTATTGCTTAATAAATCTATCTAAAGGGTTATAAAAGAAAGCAGGTACTATTTATATAACTTTCAAGTTCTAATTAAGCTTTAGTCTTGAAAGTTAAACTATTAATATATTGAACAAAATTATCTAATATGTAAGTATATAAAATAACATTATGTATTTAACAATAATTATTCAAGTTCTAATTAAGCTTTAAACTTGAAAGTTAAATAATTAAGCTATCATATATATAGAACAAAGTTATCTAATGTGTAAGTATATAAAATGACATAATTATAACTTAAACATGTACATATAAGCTTATAGAGTTTATGAGATTTTAGAGAGTTAAATTATTATGATACAAAATGTTAAGTATATAAAATATAATGCCTAATGAATGACGAAAGTTTTCATCACCGAAATGGCTTCATTAGGCAATATTGAATTAACGAATTTAAATGACGAAGTATGAATAATGAAATTTGTATTAAATAACGAAAATGATAAAACTTGTGACAAAGTATAGCAAAAGTAAAAAAAACCGAAGAAAATAGAATTTATTCGAGTTGATATAAAGTCAACAGAATGAAAAGATTCTAAGCATTGTAATGCATATTGTGAAACCATCAACCAGAACAAGTCCAGCTTAAAAAGTATAATTTGAATGACTTTCTACATATAGTAATACACTAACTTAAGATGGCAATAAGAATAAAGATAAATCTGTAAGAAATGTAAGTTGGCCTTATGCTAACGATTGCTTATAATTAATACTGTTAAGAGTAAAAACAGCGAGTCTGTCGCTAGAAGGCCAGAAATCTTGCATTATATTAGTTTTAAGGCTTTAATAGAGGCGTGGATACAATTTGGTGAGTATCCAAAGTTTATTAGATATTTTAGTGTCGTTTATTGGGTTTACTCTAAACGAATTTACTAACACTTGATCTTTGCCCTTACTTAAAATTTCAGGCACATGAAAGATAAGTTCTTTATTTAATTTTCTCATTCTTTTTATACAATTTACAACCTTCACTTAATTATACTATTTTTAGGTTTTTGACTTATATTACCTTTATCAAACATTCTTAGATTCTAGTATACACGTTTTACTTTAAGGCTGTTTTCTATTTTTAACCATAACGCCTTATTAATATTTCCTTATGTTATTACTTCTTTACAGCCCATGATTCCTTCACTCCGGCATTTTAAAACCTTGGCTTTACTGATTCATGCACCTTTTCTTTTTTTGGCTATATGAGCTATTCTTCGATTATTTGCACTTTATGCATGTTTTATGCATTCTTACCCGGGTGTGATTACATACATCAATCATCGATCTTTTCATAGAATCATGAGTCCTAGATCATGATCCTTAGGTCACATTTCTTTTTTACCTCTAACAATACGTAGCAATACATAGCATAAAGAGCATTTTATTCGTATAGAAATAATAGTAAGTTTTTTGGGTAATATATTAATTAATAAAAATATTCTTATTACTATCTTATAATTTAAATATTTTCAAACTATATAGTGTACAAATCATCATAATAATTCTAAGATAGATTTAATATTAATCTTTGACAAGTTTTTCCAAATCTTCAATTGTAATTTTGCCATTCTGTTCTTAATATATATTAATAAAATCTTTTAAAACATAATCAGAATCATCACTATCTGAAAATTGGCTACGTAAAAATTATCGCAACGAGAGCAAAAATTGTAGATCTTTCAATTTTTCTATTGCTTCAGGAGAAAGTTGGTGTGATTTATGCTCTTTGGTATTTTGTGAGGCTTCTTGAGACAAAGTAGTCAGTGCATCTGTAATTGTCAGTCCAGAACTATTTGTTCCGGACTTCTGGACTAGAATGTGATAGACTACAATTTGTGATCCAACCCTTACTTACAAGAATGTTAACTAAACTTTCTGGGTAAGTAACACTAACTAAACTATCTACACACTAAAGCTATACTATACTTTAATACTAAACTATTCTAATCAATAAGGCACTTCGATAAAGATGTAGATGAGTTTGATCTAAGAGATTGGGATCTATTTTAAGCTTATTCCTCGAGCCTTGAGTTCTCTTTAATTTATTTATTTAATTTTTTTTTTAAATTAATAATTTATTCTATTAATTTTTTATTACTTATTTATTTGTTTAGTTATTTTTATTTCTGATTTTTTTTTATATATACAGTACGTATTCTTCAAGCCTCAAGTTCTCTTTAATTTATAATATCTTATGCTTTTTATTATACACTAGTAATATAGTACTCTAATTTCCTTACTAACTATCGTTTACTACTTGTCTCTCACTTCTGGGTTTGAATCAGGGTTGAAAATACTATAGTGATTTACCAGCCATTTATTGCGTTGATGCTTATTGTTTGAAGTATCTTTTTTGACACATCACTATTGAATAAAAATATATTATAAATATACCATAGATCAATATTGATACTTTTTGGATAGCCTGCAAATTATTATAGTATTTTCAATCCTGGTTTAAATTACTGGAATTTATAGTTTCATGTGGTATGGGTTACAAGTATCAGTTTATTACTAATATGCAATGAAACAATTAAGTAACTCTTAATTGATCATAGAGATAATCTATAAAGATCCTATAAAAGCAATCGAATTAGAGATTTGAGTAAATTTTATCTTTCTCTCTCTCTTCAATAATTTATGATTTACTTATAGAGACAATTTCACACTACAGTACAATAGGAGATTCATATTTATACAATTAATAAGTACGCTTTTGGGAATCGTCTAAAGCTGGGTAGTCATGTGACCTCAAGTCACAGAGGCGGTGGCTTATATTAACCACATCCAATAGAATTGTATGTTTTATATCTAAAGCCAGATAGTAAACTAAGCTAAGCCACAAAAAACCTTTTGGGTAATTACATCAATTTGAGAAAAAGGAGGCTATTTCTCACATTTCTCACAATATATGAAGTAAATGACACAATTGAGGCGTGTGCTACTAAAAAGGCAAGTATCTAATGATCATACCTGTGCTCTTGGAACCCATTATACCAGTCACTTGGTAAATTTCAATAACATACGCTTATTCTGATGGCAAGCCTGCATTATGCAGGCAGGTTAGTGCTAAGTCAACTTCTATATTATATATTTCTTTGGTTAAATTAATTTTGTCAAGAGTTATGTTAGACATAATTAATATAGAATGATATTATTTAAA